ACCAGTCTCTAAATGTGCAAAATGACAATGAACTTCCTGCGAGAAGATGGTCAGGTGCACCCGCCTCATTTTTGTCTTTTTCACATTTCGAGAGTGGTGTGGCGATGCTTTCAGGCGGGAGGTATTTGCCTTGGCGTCCGTTTTTTTTTTTTTTAAATATTCGTATTGCGAAAGGCTAAGAGGCCTTACTGCCAGCCAAAGACAAAAACACGTCCGTCGATGGGCCCGCGCTGACCCAAGTGGTTGTATAGGCCTCCGCCACTCCGACCTTGCCCCGCCCTTCTATTTTGTCTCTTGTGGCGACAAGTTTTTTTTGTTGCACGCCTGGGGCCGTGTACTGGTGGTTCAAGGTCACATCGAAATTTTTTACCAAATTATAAATAAAAATAAAATTAAAAAATAATTTATTTATTTATTTATTATTTTTTTTTTTTTGGCCCGACCGGGCAAATGGTCCAGGACCACTCTTGTAGCCTAGCTAAAAAATAAAAAATAAAAAATATATGAAAAAACAAAAGTTACGTAGAAAAATAAATTGAATAAATCTTGTCATAAAATTATATTGAAATTAAAAAAAAAAAAATGATATATTTTTAAACTAGGCTACCAGCCGGGCCGCCAGGGTCCCGGGTGGCCAGCCCGTGCAAGGATCAAGGACGCTCCCAGCCAAAAAAAAAAAAAAAAAAAAAAAAAAAAAATCCAAAAAAAAACTATGTTATGCAAAAAAATAAACTGAACAACGTTTGCCGTAGGGTCACATCGAAATTCTGCACCGAATTTAGAAGAAAAAAAAAAACGTTAATTTTTTATTTTTTTTAATTGTTTTTGGCACGGTCGGGCAAGTGACCCCGGGTCACTCTGGTAGCCTAGTTTTTAAATAGATTTTAATTATTATTTGTCTGATCGGGCAAGTGGTCCAAGACCATTCCGGTAGCATAGGTATATAGCTATAGTACGTAACAATCACACTTTTTTTCCTTAAAAAACTAGGCTACCAGAGTGGCCCGGGTCCACTTGTCCGACCGTGCCAAAAAAAAAAAAAAAAAAAAAAAAAAACATTTATGATTGATTAAAATGTTTTTTTTTAATTTGGTAAAGAATTTCGATGTGACCCTCAGACAAAAGTTGTTCAGTTTAGTTTTCTGCATAACATTTTTTATTATCATTATTTTTTTCTTTTTTTTTTTTTACTTGGACCTTCCCTGGTCCTTCCATAGCCAGGCCGCCCGGAAAAATAGGGTGACCCCTGCGGCCGATATGTAACCTAGTTAAAAAACAAATAAACTTCTTACTTGTATAAAGTCTCGCTTACTCAAATTTTACATTTATGATAGTTGAACTCTTTTAAGCACCGCTACTCCTCAAGTCCTAATTCTGGGAGGTCCGAAGAGATGGTCAATGAGGGGTCAAATGTGAGGCCACAAGAGGCAAGAGGCAACAAGGACCATTCAAGAGGGATCGCACAACAGTATATGATGATGGGGATATTCAACTTGAACTTTTTCTGGATGGTTTCTCAAATCATGCTAAATCGATGGGATGAATAGTTTCAGAAATGATACGGAGGTTGAGGGAAGTTGGAGAATTTGAGGAACCCATGGAGCGGATCATGAGGGAGGCACACACGTGGTCTGATGTAGAGTTGAGGATGCAGGCTCGTAGACCATCTCCATTAGGGTCTAATGGAATACCTATCCGCCTGACTGTTGAGAATGTGGACGAGTTTCTCCCTGCATATGAGCAGTTTGTGCGAGATCAGGGTAACCGATCCGAGAAGTGGCTATAGACCTTTACCCTATGGGCCAGAAAAATTAAAAATCATCATAATGTGACAGTTTCAGTGCAAAAATCACCGAAAATAACACCCGTGGTTAACCACATGTGGAGGACCGGTAGCACAGGCTCGTGAGGGTTGTTGGTAGTACCAGTACAGAGTGAAAAACCGACAAAGTGACACACACATATATATATCCTGATGAGTCGGTGAAACTCCGACGAAACAGTTTGTCACAGCCCCTCGTTTGTTGTCCTCTTCTCCCTATCTGCCTACGGTTTACCGGGCAGTTCTATTTGACGATATATATATATATATATATATATATATCGTCACAAACAGAACTGCCTGGTAAACCGTAGGCAGAGAGAGAGAAGAGGACAACAAACGAGGGGCTGTGACAATATATAATTATGAAAATATTATGACAAAATCTACAAACTCTTAAATTTTTAAAGTTTTCAGGGATTCTTCTAAGCAAAAAAAGTTGCAGAAATTGGGGTAATTTTTTCATTGACCGATGTCTAGTAAATTAAGAAGCATGTTAAATACGATGAAGCAGCGCAATATTTATTTTATAATTTTATTTTATTTTTCGATATTCTACCTGTAAAAATCACATAACTCATTCTACATGATTTCAATATTCAGATTTATTGTTAATTCTTATGAGCACAAAAAATTGTCAAAGCTTACGCTTGGAAATTGTAGGACTGCACTCTCCTACGCCTGATGATCGTTGCCTCCCCTTAAAACCTAGTATAAGTTTAATTTTTGACGTTGGGGGTACTGGTGGTTTAATCAAAAAGTTTATAATTAATAATATAAATGAATAATATTTGACTTTATTTTTTATAATAAATAACGGACCTTGTCCTCTTTATTTGAAACAATATATTTTTAAGTTAGGTTACTATAGTGGTCAAGGACCATTTGCCCGACCGGACAAAAAATAATTAAAAAAAAATCATTTTTTTTTTAGTTTAAATTCGGTCAAGAATCTTCATGTGACTCTAAAGTAAAAATTGTTCATTTTATTTGTTCGCATAACATTGTTTTTCTTCCTAAGTTTTTGATGTTTTTTTGTTTTGTTTTTTATAGTCCTTGCACTGCCGGGTAGCCCGGACAAACAAGATGACTTGGGCGGCCCAACTAGTAGCGTAGTTTTAAAGATTGAAGGTTAAAAATATAGTAACTATGTTAGTGGTATCTGGATTTTATATGCATATCCTTATATGATGAAAACAAATGCTTCGATATCATGAAAAGTTAATGAAAAACAATAAAATAAAACAACATTTTTATTTTTTAAAATTTTTTTTTCCCCCTCCCAATTCTCTTTGTGCCTCAATGCGCCCAACAACGATGACATGTGAATGTCGGAAGCAATAATAAGTATTAACGATGATACTTGAAAAATTGCAATAAGAGAAGGGTATAAGGTGAAGGACGTGCATTTCAAATTGAGAGTTAAATTCAAAGTGCCTTATAAAAGTCGCTACTCCATATAGGTATACCCACAATTTCACCTGCTTAATTCTTAGGCATTACTTAATTTTTTGGTCCCTCCAACCAAGGGCATGTAAGATAGAGTACATTAATATTTTAAGTGCAAGGAAAAAGTAAGGTATTATATCAAACCACCAGTCCATCGAACCATGGATTGCAATTTGTTTTTGATACCGAATACTGTAGCAAAATCTACAGTTATTAGACAAGGCTTCGGTTCAGAGTGAAAACGTTGGTGGACTCAAAAAATTATACTGAAATGGAAATCGAAAAAAAAAAATTGGGCTATATTATGCAGAAAAATAAATAAATAAATAAATAAATATTTTGTCATGGTAACAATCATATACATTTTTGAAAGTGTTAGTATGAGCACGCCCTCAGTAAGGGCGTTTTTCAAAAACTTACGTAGAATGCGCTCTGTGTTGCTGCTAGGAGACTAGAGCAAAAAAAAAAAAAAAAAAAAAAAAACATGAACAACGAATATTTGGTCGTACTTGTAGTCAGATACATTATTCAAATACTAGTGTAAGTATGTCATCAGTAAGGGCATGCATCGATTTCGATTTAGTTATTACTTTTTTGTTTTTTTCCCCTTGTTTTATTTGTGTCATCTGCTGGTATAAAATATGACACTTAAGTTTCAAGGTTAGTTAATATTGGTACCTCCCTTGAAGAAAATAATGACGTGCACTGTAGATAGCAGCCTTGGCATAAAGCATTTTTGGGTTCATCAATTTAGGGTTTGACAAGATGCTTTGTACAAATATAAGAGGGGCCCGGGCTTAGGTATGTTGGTAATTCCCATCTTTATACTTTGGTAGGTAGGAATAAAATTTCCTCTAAACTATTTGGCCCCTTTCTGGGACTTCCCACCTATGGTAAGCCGGACATATCTAGCAATTCCAGGTTAAGAGGCGGTGCATTGGGCAGCTGGTCAGGAGCTGATTGTTTGAACCCGCAGTTCAACGACACAAATCCTGTGCATTTTGGTTGTTTTCGATTCAGGTACACATTGAAAATAGCAAGTTCGTACGATGGCTGCTATGGGCTCCGAGAGAGCCTTTTCTTCTGACCCACAACTTTCTCCACCCCGAAATTGACGAACGAAACCATCAGTGGCAAGGGCCTGCCAGACGACGCATGCAATTGTGCTCCAGCAGCCAACCAAACCTGGCGGGTGGGCCATGTGCAATCTGGACTCGGGGCCAAACCTTGGCGGGTGGGCCGTTCTAAATTTGCACCCCTGCCAAAGCTTGGGGGGCCGGTCGTCTTCAATTTGCACCCCGGCTGAGCCTGTGCCAAGCCTGTTTCCGAGCCTGGCTGGGGATTACTAAGGTCTTCCCGGAGCACAACGCACCCTCATTTTGGCTGTACTAGACCGGAAAGATAGCTTCTGTACATTCGTTATCAGGGTGAGTTTTTTCCGAGCCTGGCTGGGGATTACTGCCGTCTTCCCCCGAGCACAACGCACCCTCATTTTGGCTGTACTTGACCGGAAAGAGCTTCTGTACGTTCGTTATCAGGGTGAGTGTATTCGGGGAAGACGGTATTTACCGACTGGTAATTTTCGCCATGCAGTAAGATGGTGGTTTGCGCGGCGCGGCTGCGCCCGGGGGCTAGGTCCCACTTGCACGGATTAGGAGTTTTCGGCCGTTGATCTTTGCTATCTACGGTGAGTATCTCTTAATCCGTGCAAGTGGGACCTAGCCCCGGGTACTGGCGGCCAAAAAAAAAGAAAAGGAAGAGGAAGAAGAACCAGAACGAGACAGGGGTCCTTGCTCCACAGCACTCGACATGCATTTGGGCGCTTTCTGGACCTGATGCATTGAAAACGCTCGACTCGTCCAAATGCACTTGATCGAGAAAACGTCCAGATGCATGGAACGTGTTGTGTATGTGTAGTGGAGCGAGGCCCATGGTATGTGGTACGGTCGGCAGATATTGTATATGGTCGGTAGGGAGTGCGTTTGGGCTCCTAACAAGGTTCAGGGTGGGTCTTGGTGCTGAGCCATCCCCCCCTATGGCGTAACGGAGTGCCCCTATGGCGTAACGGAGTGAGGGAACAGGAGAGAAGACGGGCAGGGGATAGACGGAGGAAAACGGGATTTGGAAACGGAAATTTGGAAACGGAATTGGTTGCGACAGATAGCGACGTGGAAGTGTGCGGCAAGGTGCGGCAAGGTGCGGCAAGGAGTGGCAGAGAATGGATCGATTCTTCGGAGCCGGGACGTACTACGGGGATCCCGGCGTACCGCATTCAGATCCCAAGGATTACTGGTCGGCGTGTGTGGGAGCCCTTGGATACGTGGGCTTGCTGCTTGTGGAGCCCATCCCAATGCTTCATAATGATCTCTTCAAGTGAGTGCTTCAGTCATTGTTGATTGGTTGGTGGAATGATTGATTGATCGAGTGATTGTTCGGTTGGTTTGTTCGATCGATTGGTCGATTGATTGATTGATTGATTGATTGATTGATTGATTGAGTAATTGGTTGGTTGATTCATTTGGTTGACTGGTTGGTTGATTGATTGTTTGATTGTTTGATTGATTGATTGGTTGGTTGGTTGATCGATTGATTGAATGGTTGATTGTTTGATTGATTGATTGATTGGTTGGTTGATCGATTGATCGAATGGTTGATTGGTTGATTGATTGATTGGTTCGTCAATTGATTAATTTATTTATTGATTGATTGATTGATTGGTGTGTCGTTTAATTATTGATTGATTGATTGATTTGTTTGATTCATTTTTTATAAACTGATGATCGAGAGCGGGAGGGAATGGTTATTTTCCCCCTATGGCAGGTTACCGTCTTCTGCCGAATAGACCGCCAGGTCATTATCGCCGCATCTGGACCGGAAGTTGTACCAGATGCAGCTCTGAAGACCGGGCGTTCTATTCGGGTTTTAAAAAAGCATTGGGTGGAGGCATGGAGGGAGTGAGACACCCTCATTTTGTCTGTATCGGGCTGGAAACATACCTTGTATCCGTTCATTTTCGGGGTGCGTTATGTTCGAGGGAGGACGGTAGCGAGCGAGGAACAAGGAGTCCACGTCGATGTCCGAATTATGCGTCTTTTGTTGCATCGTTATGTTGTACTTTTCGTTGTTCCCCCCCCC